GTGGTACAGCAGGGTATGTCTACACTGCAATTAAAAACCTGTGGCTGTCCTGGGCCAGCTGACTTGGGCTTGTGGAGCTCGGGCTATGGAGCTGTTTAATTACGGTATTGATGTTTGGGCTTAGGTTGGAGCCTGGGCTCTAGGACCCTGCGAGGATCCCAGAACTTGGGCTGCAGGTCAAACCCAAACGTCTATACCGCAATTAAACAGCCCCTTAGCCCAAGTTGTGTGACCCCAAGTCAGCAGGCACAGGCCAGCCACAGGTATCTAATTGCAGCGTAGACATACCCTTACGAACTCCCTGCATTCTCCAGAGTACTGCGTCCTAGTAGGCAGGACAAAAGAAAGCACATAACTCAGATACACGAGGCCTAAGTAGAAAATTATGAAGAAGAATCTAATTCAGTTTGTTGGCAGTAAGAAAAAAAAACCCATTTGATGGACTAAACAGCTGGAAGCGGGTAATTTTCTTGCCAATGAATTCTGTAGTCTGCTTTCTACCTGCATGTAACAGTGCTGAACTGATGAGACAATGCCACTCAACTAGGAGAATGAAACTAGCATTGCTCAATTAAGCTGTCACCCTAACAATGTAGGCTTAAATCACTTCTACCATGACTATTTTCCACTGGTGTTTCTAGTCTGGCATCAAATAATCGTTATCCCTTTTACTCCTGGGGGAATTCTGCGCCACTGTGCATGCTCAGCATTCATGTCCCAAGGAGAATTTTTTTTTCTCCGCAGAAGATACATTCTGCTGGAGAGGTGCTGCAGTTACATCTTTCGCCTGCCAGGGGCTGCTGTGGTGCCAGAACAGAGATAAGCCCTAGGTGCAGATGGGGAACAGAAGAGGCTGTGTTTCTCACAGCACCCTGCCCGTGTGGCCAGGTCAGGAGGCATGGGATATGGGGGGTGGCGATGGACAGCATGGGGCACATTGGGCTGCTGGAGGGTCACACACTAGGGTTCAGATGAGCTAGTGGGAGGACAGACTGGGGTGGGGCTAAATGGGAGTGTAGTGCAAGAACACATGGGAACAGGGAGTTGCTGAGTGGGGGTGTAGGGCCACATTTTAACAGGGAGGTGCAGAACCACATGGGAATGGGGAAGGGGAGTGCAGGGACACTTGGGGACAGGGGCACGTGCCAGACTGAATGAGAGAGGGTAGGAGTCAGCCAGGGTCTGCATGGGGGAGATTACCCAACTCCCTAACAATCCTCCCCCCCACCCCAAAAAAAAAAACCCTGTTCCATACTTCTCCCATTCACACCCAACAACCCTCCAAGTTCACTCCCAGGCTCCTTCCCAGCAATTACTTGACTCTCCCTCGTCCCTCAGCTCCTCCATTACCCCCGACTCCCCTAAGCCTTTGCCCTGCTTCTGAGGGGTGCAGGAAATACGTTTCTGTACTGTAGTTTAAATGATTTATTACTCAAAGTTCTGTATTAATATGCCCAGTAAGGACTCTATTTGTTGAAAAACATTTCCTGAATTTTTTGGTCATCTGTATTGTTACAGACATACTGGTTGACAGTATTTTGAAATAAATTACCAAAATAATTGAAACTGTCATGATTATATTGTGTTATTTTGGCAAATAAACTATGCAGAATTTCAAAATATTGTGCACAGAATTTTGTATTTTTTGGCACAGAATTCCCCTAGGAGTACTCTTTGCAATTTTCAGTCTCATATCAAACAGAAGGACCACATGCTTCAGGTTAAGTGTTTTATGACTGTGCAAATTCCCTGATGCAAAACTTCCTCTGTGACAATCTTACACACATTTGGATAGATTAAATCAGTTCTGTGCTTCAGTTCACACACACTCTCAACACGTGCGATTTCATTCATGCAATTCTTTACTTTCCAAAGAATTCATCTGCATTTTCCATTTAAACTGAGAAGTGAAGTTATTATTCTTTCAGTTAAACAAAACAAGCACTTTTCAGAATAAAACCACTCCAAGTATATTTATGTATGTCTTGCTTTCTTTTTATTCAAGGTATCTGTAGTTTAGCAGCTATACTGCAAGGGAGTACATCCCAGTGGTTAGAACATTAGACATCAGAAGATCTGTGTTTTATTCTCAGTCCTGCCCGTGGCCTGCTGGGTGACCTTGGACAAGTCACTCCACTGCTCTGTGCCTCCATTTTCCCATCTATAAAATGGGAATAATACCACCTCCTCTGTAAAGTGTTTGAGATCTATGGCTGGACTAAATAATTAATTATTATTATAGGAAATCTTAGCTTGTCCCCCACCCTGCACTTATTAAAAGTTTCATAAATGTGGCATTTTGGTTTAATTACAATAGAATAAAATGGAAGACAGGCAGGGAGATATCCTCAAAGTGGATACCGAGGCCGTCTCTACACAAAGAAGATTTTTCAATAATTGATAGCACCAGTGTTTGCACGATTGGAAGCCCTACTGCACATGGGCCACTGGCTGCCACCACTTTAATGTGTCACCAAAGTCTGTTCTGAGCATGACTAATGGAAACAGCACTTAAAATGGTGACAACAGCTGGTATCCTATCTCAACAAGGGCTCCCAACACTGCTCATGCTGATGCAGCTGAACAAGTATGAGCAACGGTAGCAAATTTTTAAAAAATATCCTTAATGGAGACAAGGCCATAGTGTCCAATTCTGACTTACAAGTATCTCACTAGACGTTCAAATATGGGGCTGAAGCGTCCTATTAAAGCACCATACATTGGAAACTGGGCTCCCTGTGCGTTTTCTTAACTAGCCGAGTTGGTATCTCACTAAGAAGCTGGAAGTCCCTGGAAATACAGGGCTAGATGTTTTCACGCACTACTGCACATTACCCTTAGCAGTTGGAATTCCAGTTCTTGGGATAAAAGCAGGGAGGCACAGAAAACAAACAGATACAGACACATTGCAGCAGGACGGGTGGGGAGGGAAGAGACAGCAAACCAAAACCCATACAGCTCATACAAAGAGGTTTTTATTAGGACTGCTAAAATTCAAGTTGCTTTTAAATACCCAATTTGCTTGGCACCTTCTTCAAAAGCACAGTAACAAAACCATGAACTCACAAGAGGAGGAAAATGGTTTCAGTGTTTAACTCCTATTTCTGTTTTTGGAACTTTTACGTCTAGTCACACACAAAAAGCTATTTTTAAAAAAAGGTAGATTTTAGTTTGCAGGGAAATCGATGACACTTCTCACAACTGTCAGCCAACTTTATTTACATTGCATGCATGTGCACAGAGATACCAAGAGAAAAAAAGAGAGAAAAAGAAGAGGTGTCGGTTTTGTTTTCAATGGGGCATTCATCTGGAATTATGTGAAATTAAGTCAGTTTAACATGAATTGGCTGGTTCATGTAAAAAAAATTCACTTAACACCCCTCTGCTCCCCAACAGCCCAGACTTACTTTCTTTCAGTCTCTGGTGTTGACACAGTACTACTGAGGCCAAGTGATTCCTGTAAGGGAAGATACATTGCCATGAGTGCAGACAGAACAACAAGCTTTACCCAACTGGTGCAAAATATCAAATTAAAAAAAAATCCAAAACAAAAATAGATGATTAAAGTCATTGTGCTTACTTCAATCTGGGACCGCAGCTGTAGCGATGTGGGGCTGGCATCGGGTTTCTCCTAAAACAGAACAGATGTCGGGTTAATGCAACACCCAAATGAGGCAGCATTCTCCAGAAAAACAAATATGGAGTTAGATGAGAAAAGAAAAAGGGGACATGAACAGAACATTGAAAAATCCCACAACCTTTCATATAGGAAGCATTAAGCTATCCAGTGGAATCGCTCTCTGAAGAAGCACTGAAATACTCAAGTAGAAGCCAATTACATACTTATTACAGATAAATTTAGCACAGTGTAAGGCTTATACATAGATATGGGTTAAAATAATAATAAAGGAAACACAGGTGAGTACTCTTCAAGAGATAATCAACATTTGCCACATACTCCTACAAGTGGACTGCCAACCTCCTGAGCTTTCTTTCCTCTTTCAGAGCCACCTGACCCTTGTGATAATGTATGTTTACTTGCAGTATATCATTCATCCACTAGATGTCTTCACATACAGATTTCCAGATAGAGTGTGATCCTTGGTAAACAAGGGAGACAAAGCTGGAACTCAAGCTGGATGGAAGTCTGTCTGTGTTGACAGAATGCTGTAGTTTTCTTTAATAAATGCCTCCTGTTTAACATAGCCTGTGCTGCAACTTATTGTGACATCCCCCACTTCTTCCAACCCTGAACTGCAACACACAGGATTAAGTATGGGCTTTAAAGGGGTTATGTTCTCATCAGAACCCTAAAATGAAATTAATTTGCTGCAACTATTGAAGACAATTATTTGTGGACACAATACTGATGTTGAGTTTCAAGAATTTTTTTTTAACCAATTACAAAGGTATATATATAATCAGTGGATCAGGCCCATATTGTCCAATTTAAGATTTTATATCAATAATTGAAAGTGTACCTGTTGTACACTTTAAGTGTAACAGGGGGCTTAATCCTGCTCCCATTGAAATCAAGGGTAAAACTCCAGGTGGGATTGGGAAAAAGTTTGCAGTCATATGTCACTGGAGGTAAATCTAACTGTTGGCGCCTCATTCATCTGAATGCAAAACAGTGGGGGAAAGCACTTTGCATGGCATGACTATGAATCTTGGACCCAATTCTGGTCCTATTGAAGCCAGTGAGAGCTCTGCCATTGATTTCAAATAGTTGTTACTGTACTCCAGGAAATCACTAAGGTCTAACAAGCAAATTACATGACAAACACTCAAATCAAAGAGTGAAAAGACCTAGCATGTCAACTTGTTCATCCCTGAGTATAGCAGGGTTATCTTTTTATGGCATATTATCCAATGCAATAGTTAATCTAGTTTTAACTCTCTTTTCTATCTCGAAATTAACTAGTTTCTATGTCCTTAGCCTAAAGATAAAAAAGGGAAATGTATCTACAGAAGAGAGTAATAAGAAAATAAGATTCAATTTAAAAAAAAAGATATTAGTGTAAATTGACCTGAAATACTTTAGGGTTAATGCTTCCAGAAAATCCACAAAATCCAGAACAAAACTCAATGCCACTCTAATAGAACTCATTCAAATGGAGACCAGCTTCTACTATTGGAGACTGTAGTATAACAGGATAGTCCCCAACCATATCATGGCACAATGAGATAACAGTATTATGTTAGATGATAGTCATGATCTACACAGGGTGTAACACGATATAGTAACTTTGTTATAACATGGTTTGGTCTGTTCTATGCTGGCTGCCTTGGCTTTGTTATTTTAATATTGTAGACAGGGTGTAAGTGTCAGCATATGAAGGGGTCCAGACTCCAATGGAAAAGTCCTTCCATCTACTTTAATAGTTGTTGGGGGCTCAGGATACTCTGCAAATGTAACAGGTCAAGAAACCAAAACCAATTATTGAGAATCAAAAGGTACTGGGAAAAAAAATCATTTCCCAGCAGGGCTGCCCGGGGGAAGGGAGAGGGCAAGAGGGGCAATTTGCCCCAGGCCCTGCGATCCCTGGCCCGGTGGCGGTCCGGGTCTTCAGTGGCATTTCGGTGGCGGGTCCTTCAGTGCTGCCGAAGATGCAGAGTGACTGAAGGGCCCTCCCGCTGCCGAAATGCCGCAGAAGACCCGGACCACCGCTGGGTGAGTACAAGCACCGCAGCTCCCCCACTTTGCCCCAGGCCCCCTGAATCCTCTGGGCGGCCCTGTTTCCCCATACCACTACCTAGTGACTCTGATTTTCTCATTAAAGTAGAGGTATGGTAGTCCCCATTCCCCCATTACTTCTATCAAAAGAGAAATCAAACAAGTTTTCCAGCCAGCAAGGCAGCAGGAACATTACTGCAAGTCTTTCTCCTTCACTCTCCCACTGACCTGAAGGCCAAAAAGGAAGGAAGGAAGGAAGGATGGACGCAAGCAGCAGTAAACCTACTTGCAACACAGCTCATTCAAGCCAGTTTTTCCTCCTCCACCCACTGTCACAAAGACAACACAGAACATTTGACCAGTATGGGCATCTTAAAGCTGCATACAGCCAGTCAAAGGAATCTACTATGTGCCTGAAGTGCATTTGTACCCCTGCCTCTCAGCAATAAATATTTGGTTTTTCATCATTTATTTTGTGTATGAAGAAGCAGCTGCTGCAAATCCTTTTTTAACAGATTTTTTTTTAGAGTATAATTTAGAAGGCCACATCCCTTTTTTCTGCCACTCAAAGGGATCCTTTTACTTGCCCAAGTTCACTGTAAATTGTAAATGGAGGGTGGAAAGGTTTTTTGTATTTTTTTAAATCTCCTGGAGAAATAACCAGCTGCATCCTGCGTTTCAAAATCTTGACTCTCTTCTCCCATTTATGCCATTAGCCTCCTCTGCCACCTTGGGCTCTAAAGCTGCCCTTGTCCCTGGCAGCACTCAAAGACAAATAACTTAAGAAATTTCTCTATCATCATTATTCAAGAGTCTTCAGTCCTAATTAGCATGAAATGGTATTTTTTCTGTGCGGACAAACAAACAATGATGTTGGGGAGAAGAAGGGTTTAAAAGTTAAACCAGCCATTAATAGTTTTATTTATTTAGGCTCTGGTCTGGCTACTGGAGAGTAGGCCCTGTGCCTATATGAATCCAATTGAAGGTCAGAGTCTTATTTTGCAAAGTGGGGTGAATTCTGGAAGGCTGGTTTTAGTTTCAAAAAACAAACTGACGACATTTTGCAAAATATTTTACAATATTAGTTTATTAAAAGTTAATTCTCTGTAGCTCTCAAACTTGAAACAAACCTTTAAACATTCTACAAAGCTTTGTCTATGATGTTCTAAAAGGTTCTGAATTATGGGCTTCATAATTCATGGGGTGAGATCCACACCAGGTTAAAGTGCTAGAGTAGTGTAAAGAGGTGCTAAAAATCCCAGTTCCAACGGGGGGTGGATTTTCACAGTGTAGGCACGGCAAAAGGTATTCATAAAGCTGCCTTCCAAAGATCTCTTCACTAGGTCTGGCACAGGAGACATGCTGGGGTGTGGAGGGTATTGGGGGCAGAGTTGGATCACTCTATGGAGATTTCAGGCAGTGCAGCCCTGAGAAACTGCTGTTCCAGTCCCCAGAGCAGCCCAGGATCAGGAGGGGACAAAAATGGCTTAACACAAGGGAAGCGGGGGCTTTGTGAATTTGGCTGTAGAACAGGGGTGGGCAAACTTTTTGGCCCGAGGGCCACATCGGGGTTGCGCAACTGTATGGAGGGCTGGGTAGGGAAGGCTGTGCCTCCCCAAACAGCCTGGCCCCCACCCCCTATCCGCCCCCTCCCACTGCCTCCCTCAGAACCTCCAAGCCATCCAACCCCCCTGCTCCTTGTCCCCTGACCGCCCCCTCCCGGGACCCCCGCCCCCTATCCAACCCCCCTGCTCCCTGTCCCCTGACTGCCCGACTGCTATCCACACCCCCACCCCCGACAACCCCCCTGGGACTCCCACCCCTTATCCAACTGCCCTCTGCTCCTCGTCCCCTAATCAACCCCTCCCGGGACCCCCCTGCCCCTAACTGCCCCCCAGGATCCCACCCCCTTATCCAACCTCCCCTGCTCCCTGTCCCCTGACTGTCCTCCCAACCCCATCCACATCCCCGCCCCCTGACAGGTCCCCCAAGACTCCCACTCCCAACCCTCCCTGTTCCCCATCCCCTGACCACCCCCCAGAACCTCCGCCCCATCCAACTGCCCCCTCCTCCCTGTCTGTCCCCTAGAACTCCCCACTCCCCACCCCCTTACCAGCAGCAGGAGTTCGCAGCCGTGACACCCGGCCAGAGCCAGCTGCACTCCCCACGCTGCCCAGCGGGAGCGGCGAGCCACAGCGCGGCCCATGCAGCGGCATGGCTGTGGGGGAGTGGGGGAGGGAGAGTGGGCCGTAGTTTGCCCACGTCTGCTGTAGAACATACATAGAATTTACGGTCAAAAAGGGACCATTTATGATAATCTAGTCCGACCTCCTGCATAACACAGACTACAGAATTTCACCCAGTAATTTCTGCATCAAGATCATTACTTATGGTTGAACTAGGGCATCTCTTTTAGAAAGAATTCATTCTCCCACCTGAAAGGCCTCTTCCACAGCACTGAAGTCAGGGGACACTTTGCTATTGACTTCAACAGCCGCGGGATCAGGCCCAAAAAGCATTGGTGAAAGTGAGGGTCAATATGGACAGACGCTATCCAGGCAGCCCACAAAAAGTTCTGTCAGCATGCCTCAGGCATGTCCTGCATTACCTACTTTTTCACAATCTGTTTATTGACAAACAATGCATTACCCGGCAGGAAGTAACCAATATTGAATTATGAAAAGCATCTTGCAGAGTAGGAATTGACACAACACGGAATCAGTGTGTACCAATAACTGCAGTTCTTTTTACATGAGTTCTACTATAACACAGACGATGATTTGTAAACATACCAAGTGAGACTTGTGGCTCATTCTTCAAGGTTTCAGCTGTTCTCCCTGGCTCAGGAAAGAGTCTTTCCTCACTGTGAAGTGGCCAGGTGCTCTAGGGGTTTTCACATATTTCTCATTAACCACAATGCCACTGATGGACACAGGACATCAGATCTGATGGTC